ATACATTAATATAACTAGAAAAATCTCACATTCTAGGACTTGGTCATGTATGCACATGATAGGTTGCAAGCTCTGTGACACAACCTTGCATCTTAGTGCGAGTAGTGAGCCACAGTGAGTGTCTGTCTGTGTTTATTAAGCGTAATTATATTGTTGAACTCTAAGTAAACCTCTCATTTGTAGTTCATATGACTGGGTCTGAAAAAAAAGAATATTATCAGTAATTCCATCATCAATAAAAGATTTACAACTTTCTGGTAACACTGAAACAAAGAGTGCAGGGTAAAAAAAAGAAAATTTACTGGTTTTCTTTATAACAATAAGTCTGCCTTTGAAATTTTACAACAAGTCTCAAACTATCTCTGACTTAAGATATATTTAAATGTGAAGCCCCCTTGGTACATGGTGTAACCATCATATGGTGACACATCCAGTATCCAAATAAGCACTTACACTTCATTCTTATACAAGGTAAGAATAATGTAGACTGAGGGAAGATGGGCAGACAGGTAAGAATCTATCAGAAATTTATATTTAGGTAGAGAGGATGTTCACATCAAAACAATATTCTTATCTCTTCAAACAATAACTATAACTCCACATACAGGAGCTAATGTCACACAATAACCACAATTCTGCATTGATGTCATTATGGAGCTAGTGTCACAAAATAACCATAATTCTGTATTGATATCATGATGGAGCTAGTGTCACATAATAACTAATTCTATATTGATGTCATAATGGAGCTAGTGTCACACAATAACTATACTTCCACATAGATGTCATGATGGAGCTAGTGTCACACAATAACTACAATTCCATATTAATGTCATGATGGAGCTAATGTCAGCAAATAACCATAATTCCACATTGATGTCATTATGGAGATAGTGTCACATAATAACTATAATTCCACATAGACGTCATGATGGAGCTAGTGTCACACAGTAACTACAATTCCACATTGATGTCATTATGGAACTAGTGTCACATAATAACTATAATTTCACATTAATGTCATGATGGAGCTAGTGAAACACAAATTATAATTCAACGTTGATGTCATTATGGAGTTAGTGTGACATAAAGACTATAATTCCAAATGGATGTCATTATGGTGCTAATGTCACACAGTAGCTACAATTCCACATTGATGTCATGATGGAGCTAGTGTCACACAGTAACTATAATTCCACAATGATGTCATTATGGAGCTAGTGTCACATAATAACTATAATTCCAAATGTATGTCATTATAGAGCTAATGACACACAGTAGCTACAATTCCACATTGATGTCATGATGGAGCTAATGTCACACAGTAGCTACAATTCCACATTGATGTCATGATGGAGCTAGTGTCACACAGTAACTATAATTCCACATTAATGTTGTGATGGAGCTAGTGAAACACAAATTATAATTCAACGTTGATGTCATTATGGAGTTAGTGTGACATAAAGACTATAATTCCAAATGGATGTCATTATAGTGCTAATGTCACACAGTAGCTACAATTCCACATTGATGTCTTGATGGAGCTAGTGTCACACAGTAACTATAATTCCACATTGATGTCATTATGGAGCTAGTGTCACATAATAATTATAATTCCACATTAATATCATGATGGAGCTAGTGAAACACAAATTATAATTCAATGTTGATGTCATGATGGAGCTAGTGAAACACAAATTATAATTCAATGTTGATGTCATGATGGAGCTAGTGAAACACAAATTATAATTCAATGTTGATGTCATGATGGAGTTAATGTGACATAAAAACTATAATTCCACATT